GATTTCATTGTTAATAATTCGCGAAAGGATAATGGATGATAATATAAGGTAATAGATGGTAATAGTGGAGGATGATGGATGATAAGTAGACCCGCGGATCATTATGCAAATTCGAATCTTTAGGGGTATAATTAGGAAAACAGAATCACGGTGGAAAATGGCTTTCCCTAGAAAGTACTATAGATAGCACTACATTTTGTATATTTTACATATATTTGATACAAAAACTACCAGACTGATGTCTTCTTTTTGCAATTACTAGAAAGACAACATATGCTTCTCTAAGAAATGATTAAAGAAATCGATTTAGCAATACGCAGACTGAATTGTAAATCAATTGAAGTCTCGATAGATGCACTCTTAGAATTTCTATAGAGAAATTTCAAAAAGTCAAGTTAACTAGTAGTTTCAGTGTTAAATTAGAGTGAAATTCAATGTTGTACTTTCAAATTTCCAGTAAATGCACAGAAATCCGCAGTTTAGTGATATGGGTACACATTTGATTTCTTTAGATTTATGTATTAATCCTTAACGGTCGATAATTTTCTATTAACTCCTTATGGGCGAGACCGTCTTAAACTTCCATAATCTTTTCGTAGAAAACTGAATTATGCTATTATGCATTAATATCTTAAAAGGATATTAAACGAAAAATATGACATGTTACTTTCCTGCTAGTTGCAGTTTCGATTTAATATATCAAAGCTCGAAGTTGCCATTACGGCCGCAAAGGGTTAATAACAGCGAAACATTACTATGATTCCAATAACAGGAATATTATATTATTCTACATCGAGTAGTTGAAAAATGGAGAACTCAGGGTTACTTTAATAGCAATTGACGTGTCGTGAGTTCATGGGATGTCGGGTCACAGTTGCCAGCAACCAGTGCCGTTAGCCTCGGCTCATCCCTAAACTGGGAGACTCGTGCACCGCTGTTGCATCGTGCACCTGCATCTTGAACGTAGTATTTATATACGTTCATGTTAGAAATTGCTGATGTATAACAATCAATCCACTTGCATCATCTGATAGAATGATAAATATACCATTATCGCAAAATATTGTTTTTTATTACATTTTAATAGTTGCCGCATAGACACAAGTCTGTGGATCACATAATATTTTACCGTAATAATAATAGTAAACAGTAAATGATAGTACATAATAGTAAATAATAGTTAATAATATTATTGTTAATAATTACTAGCAAATATTACAACAATATTTATTATTCTACTTGGTAGTTTTTTTCCTACATATTAATCAGTCACAGTTCAGCTATTTAAGTTTGCAACACCCTGTATAACGATAAATGTTACTCGCAGACGTAAGGGACGATTCATTCTTTATCTCCAGAGTCGTAGTTTCCTTAAAAGTCCCAATACGAATCTCGATTCTGTGAAAAATACTTTGGTACAACGAAAGGCAATTTCCTGATGACAAAATAATTAGAGAGGCTCTCGGTGATTGTATTTCCTACCTGATCTCTCCGATGAATTAAAAAAGGTAGTAAAATACAGAAACTAGTTGCTTCTGTATGTACAATCCGGCCAAGGTTGAACGAATTATCGTTATTATTCCTTTTAAGTCCTCCGTTTGCATTTCAATCACGTATCCACAGCGTGAAATAGGCATCGCAAGCGATTAATCGTAAAAAGTCTGGAGGATCCCCATGTTTTTATAACGCGCCCGGTATTGCACATAAAAACAAAGTATTAGGGGTACCGGAAAGGCTTTTCGTATTTTAAACCCTTCAATTTCCGCGATTACGGGTTCTTAATTTTAATCTTGAATTAATTAAAATGGCAATTTAAGGTCATTGAAAACAACGGCGATTATGTCATCGATTCAATATATTTTTCATTATTTCCATACGGAATCTTGTAAGAAGAAACGAAATACTTTACCGTAACCGTAATAACTATTAACATAAATTAATGATTGCCTTTTCATTTTATCCTCGCCAGAAAGAATCCTCAGACCAGCAAAGAATATTCGTTTTATTCGAGCTTTCATAAAATATTCTATTGAAATCAGTTTTTGTAATAATGAACCGTATTGCAATTACAAATTACCAGGAAACCACAAAAAGAAGATAATTTACGCATGCGACGTATTGTATGAGTTATAACGTTCTTGTACATTAAGCGTTCGTGCATTAAGTAATTCTTACAAGTATGGCGGGAATGCGTTTCCTGAGATTCCACGCGAGTTTCACTGTCATATGCTCACGAGTATATTAATTTATTACATTGTCAGCTACTAACTGTGAAATTTGAAAATGCAGTAATTCCATAAAATACGCGTAGTATGAGAAAAATCTATAAAATGACAAAAGTATTGTGCCATTTACGATACTACTATGCAGTAGGTGGAGCAATTTCCTACCACAATATCATTTATTCAATCGTATTATAAAAAAAAACTTAATTTTTTACTTATTTCAATCATAATAGTAATTATCATACAATCACTACGATAATTCCTAATGAATAGACTATAAATTCTTCTGTATTTATAGGAAATTTTAGAGTGGAAAATTGTAAATTTTTGATTTATGTAAAATATTCATAATTCTACTCTCCCATGTCCTATCTTCCTAACTCTCTATTTTCTAGCTGCATTACAAATTTGAATTTCCATAGAGACCTGCGGTCTGCCAATGATTAATACTCTTTCTTGTGTGTTCGTGTGCTCGAGCCAATTCCACCGACGATTTCATCGAACGGTTAATTCCGTTCCGTTAATTATCAGACGTAACACAGTCGCCACTGTCTAACGTTCCCGCAGGGGTCGCGCGTATCTTATTATACCCCAGATAACCGATTGCATCGGGAACTTATCAAGATCGAGCTGGTCCTCGAAACCCGTAACAAGCTGTTCGGCCGTCGCCGATGTTTTCCGGTTTGTAATTAGCTAGTTTTCGTCGCACGAAAACATGGAATGTCTGCGAACTGCACGGACCATTGAACCTATGGGGACGAATATCGACATTTTGGTGAGATCAAACTTTCATATTGGGAACACTAAGTTGCAAACAAATGATTTCATTACTCAAACAGCAAAATAACATTGTACAGTTTCTTTTCTCTCTATTATTTGACACTAAAACTACCGTACAGTGAAACTGACATTTCGAAATTGTTCTACAGAAACTGATTGATTAACTATTCAGTTTGCTTTTTCGTAAACCAATTCCTTTCATCTACAGAAGGTTTTGTATATTTTAATTATTAAAGATGAAGGTTGTTCAAGCTCGAGAGTTACACATGTTACAGTGAAATCGATGAAAAAAATTAATATAGAGTAGCAGATTCGTTCATATATCGAAGGATCTCTAATGACTCAGAACGCACTACGTATAGTAGAGCTCTCGGTATAGAAACAAACGATAGACGGCGGGCGACGCCCGTCCGCAGATCATGGAAATAACCAAATCACGGATCGTGGAATTCCGATCGATCTCTAATATTAACGAATCTTCGTCCGCAAAGTATTAAAGAGAAATGTTCGAGCTACTTTATGATTTAATTACGAGCGCAAGGAACATTTTTGTACACGTGGCCGCCGCGTCGCGCCGCGCCGGGTGAATCCTTTCGATCTGCTTTCTCCTTCATTACGCCCGCGGGCAACGTTGATTGAAAATTAACACTTTCTCCCGACGCTGATCGAGACACGTGGAATCTGCGGGTTTCACGTGGTTTTCGTGACCTCGGTGCATTATTTTCGTCTAGCGTTGTGTAATTTGTATATTAGGCTGGTTATTGTTAGAGTTATAGTTTTGTAAAGTTACTTATAACTTTCGTGGGACCGGCTTTCGTTGATATTTTATTATTATTCTTTTTTTATTCATTGTGGCTAACGTTAAAAATTTATTTGTATTATCAATTACTGCGTTGCTTTACGTAAGATCAGATAGATATGATGGCAAAAATTACATTGGAATTTATAAATATATATATGTTAAATGTCATAAATATTATAGATATCATAAATATTACAAATATTACAAATATTATAAGTATTAAAAAGATCATAAACATTATAAATATTATGAATATATTAAATATCAGGTTGTGAAATACTTGCAGACTGCAAAGTAGCTCTGCATCCCCTTGTATAAAACACTCGAGCCGTTTAAAAGGTACGACTTTCGAAACGCGTTTCTTGCAGCACGAAGATCTGGAATCCGCGATTTTTAGTGGCTAATTCCTGAATCCTGAGTCGTGCAATCACTGCGAGATGTAACATTTTCCTCGGATAGGAGAAAGGCGTCCACGTAAATACCGAGATAAACCAAATTCTTCCTGGTGAACGTCGATTAATTTAGAGCGTCTCTGCAGCTGTTTGTGATTAGTACTTTCTACATGGGTCTTCGGTGATGATGATTTCATAATTCAGGTGCACGGACATCGGCGCGATACTCTTTCGATCAGCATTTAAAAGGAGCAGCTGTTGCATTCAGGCGAACGTGTAATCGGTCGATTCAGGAAGTCTGCGTTTCCCTTCACGAATCTTTTTCCCGTTAATACTGGAACTACCGGATCAGTGAAGATCACCCATTACTGAATTATTATCTTACATTTACTGAAAAGATGAGAGACTCTTCTCTGAGAAGTTAAGAAATTCATTTAACGATGTGCAAACAAAATTATAAGTCAATCGAAATCTGATAAAGGAGATCGAAAAAGAAATGTCGACTTAACTGATCGGTATTTATTATATAATGTTAATGGACTGAATAAAATAATTTTAATACCAACGTAAAAATGTGAACTTCTTTTTGGGTTGAAAGGAAATGAGTTTGAATATGCTACTTTTGAGTTGCTAATTAATTTTCAAATTTTAAATATGTATGTTATACATTAAAATATTCATGTACTCCTTTGATTCATTTCCTTTATTCAGAAGACTCATGCACATAACCCTATTTACTTATTTCGATAATAAATATTAGTTAATATTTATTACTAATTAGAATTTCATTTCTTCTTTCAGAAGCAGCGCAAACAGATACTAATCCAAGTGGAACTGTCCATTATTCTAACGGACACCGTTTGTTCGCAATGAAGGTGCGTATATCAGAATTCTATTTCAGAATAATCCTATCAGTTCCGATAATCTAATTAATGTTTCATTAACTGTTTCATACAATTATCATTGCATTCAAGATTTATATCTTTTTATAATTCAATGAATGTCACATAAAAACTTCGACAAATATTCTTTTAATTGGCATAATAACTTGCATACCAAACATTTTAAGTGTTACAGAAATTGCGTTTCAAAATATTCCGATACCAATCGATATTATAAGGTTTCTCTACCGAACAGTCTGCTCAATTAAAGCGTGTTCGGTTTTACCAGTAGGGAAGTTTTGTATTTTAATTTTCTAACCGCTGTATATGCGTTCTTCATATTTACAATTAAAATGCAAAATAGTTGAGTCGCCTGCAGCGTCGGTAAAAGATAAAAAAGAAAGGTTGGATCCTATAGGAATATAGGATTTCTCGGTTTCCTTGTGTCGCAAGTATTGACACCTTTAAAGGATTGAATATTGGAAATGATTTTGAAAATAAATAGTTTCACTCGGATACTTAGTGAATGTCTGAAGAAACTGAAAATAACCTATTGTTACAATTTTTATGCGGATTACATAGTAATCACAAATTATCACAAAGTAAAGTGTATATTAAATCTGAAACACTTAACACGATAAATTCATTGTCTTTGTAGACATTTATTACGAGAATACGCGATGAAATTAGTCAAAGCGACTGGGACTAGCTATTGATCCAATTACATTTCAGTCGTGAATGCAACAAATACATGTATGGGTGGTAAAACTAAAATACAACAATTTCGTATTAGCAAAGTTGAATAAGCTTTAACCGGACAGACTGGAAAAGACAAAGATCATTGCTAATTACGGAACGAATGGATAAATTCGACGATAAAACGCGACCGTACGTTGGCAAAAATGCTAAAAGTAGGGAAGCACAGGTGTAATCGCGGCCGGGAATCGGCGGTACCAGTTTTAGATCGAGTTACCGTGTACATAAGCTCTTGATCTTGATACGAGACGCATTCACAGAGCGTTCCCAAGAAAATCGAGGCCATTCCTTGTTGCCTGAACCGTGTTGTTTGCGGGGAACAAACGCTTCCCGAATGCTGAAACTTCAACCATCTGTCCGCTTGACTGACCGCTTCACGTGTACTTCGATGATTCTTGGTATCAGATTACTCGGAAAGAAATTACATTGTTACCAAGCTGATTTATTGTAAATAATCAATTCAGTAGTTCAAACTTTAGAGTTAATTTAAAGTATACTGCACCTGTTTAGAATCTGCATCCATTCCGCTTTCGTTTTAAATCGTGAAAGGGTAAGAAAATTTGTAAGAATCACTCTTTGAACTGTGGACGTAAAAGAATCTATTTATTCTAATTAATTTTAATTTTTGCCAATGTAAGATTCAAGAAAAAAAGTTTGTGTTCAGCGAATAAATATCTACTAATTGGCTAGTCTATTTTGGAATACGAAGAAAAGCTTGAAATTTAGTGGATAGTGTGATTAACATAATAATCCCATGAAAACAATTATTAGTAACTTCCCACTAAATTTGTTGTTAACGCATAGTTTGTTAGTATTAGTAGTAACAGCTATGAGTTCATAATTTTATCTGAATAAGATAGTGTAACGGTTTCTTTCGGACTTTTTATTTGAAGGGAAATTATTCTGCTCTTCAGTGCGTCTCGGTTGTTGAGAAATTTATTAATATTCTTCCGGTAAGTAGACTGTTCAGTGAAGAATCGAAAAACAGTAATCTAAAGGAAATTGATGTACACGGAGCATTTGAAGTATAAGTTTTCTGTTCAGTAACCGCGACATAAAATCTTCTCCTAAGTTGCGGCTGTGATTCTCCTTTTTGCCGTGAATTGTTGTACACTGCGAATAATGCATCCATGTGTACATGTGTTACGTATCCGTTACATTCAGACTCGAGTTATCTCCACATTGTTGGAACTCTATGTAATCTTCAACTATTACGAGAATCTATGCTTTATTCCGTAAAGGTCTTTCATTTTACAGTTAACCTCCATTTCATGCTCTATAATGTGCTCAGTGGCGGGCAATTCGAATCGAGATTTAACCTCTTGTAGAACACTGGCACAGAGGGAGAATTAATTTCCTTAACTACTTCACTATTCCATAGTTGAATTTCGTTAATTAATTATAAATTATTGATAATTATTTTTTAAGTAAGACATAAGATCTTCGAGTTAACTAGTTAACTGCGTTTGACGAATATACATGTCACCTTAAAGTTTGAAATGATACTAATTCTTTTAAAGGTTTGTACCGGTGGCCGGTGTTAAAGGCTTTGACTTATGTGCTTCACATGTAATATGTATTTTACCTCTACAACTCGAATTCAGAAGAAGGTTAGCCTTCAAGTCGAAGTTCACACGAGAATTGTATTATAGTATTTCTATGTGAATCGATATCTTCTGATATCTTCTGAATCCGAATTGTCCAGATGAAATGCACATTAAACGCGAGGCAAATAATTCAAATTATAGAACTTTTATGTTTTAAATTGTTGAGGTAAAACACTCGTTAAACCCGAGACAAATAATTCGAATGATAGAATTTTTATATTTCAAATCGTTGAGGTAAAATAAATATCAAAGCAAATGTTCAATTATAGGAGTTTTTACGGCGCAACGAAAGAGAAAGAAGATATTTTACGAGTTACGAAAGTTCAACTGTATCGTATAAAATATGCAAAACTCCCGTAGCAGTGAACGCGTCGAACAAGAACGTGCATAAAGCTACTCGATTCAACGTGTTTCGCGAGACAGATAAAATCATAACCGCTAGAAAAACGCGACACCAGCAGGGGCAGCGTAGAACGTGCCAAGAACCACTGACCTAAAGCAACATTTACCTACGAAAGAGGCTAATATACCCGCGCGCTAGATCGATTGTATGCATAACCGTGGATCTAGTTCGAAGGATTCTGGTTAACGAGCGCGCGCAGAAATTCATCTACGGAATTACTATAAGACGTTTGCGTGGGAATTTCTGGCCGCTGTCTCCTCGTCAGCGTGAGGTAACAGATACGGAGTCGGAACGCGGTTGCATCCTGATGATCAGTGGCGAGGAACCGACGTAAATAGAGCAGACAGTAGCCCAAGACTGGGAAAAAATATTGATACCGGTAAATAGTAATGATTCTTGTTCGGTCTGTTTGACTCGGGCGTGAGCACGGTTTCTTGATATTATTCAACTACGTTTTTATCAACCCTTGCGGTAGCAACTGAAATGTCTGCGTTTGTTCAACCTTTATTGTTCCCACATTTTTGCGTAAATTTCTTATTTCTAAGGCGCAAATCGAAGCGAGAACGTTAAAGATCCGAAGCGATTTTATTAGATTTTTGCAAGAACATAACAAACAATTAATGTTACTATAATATACCGTAATAATAATATTAATGTATTTATAATATTTACGAAACCAGTCAACTTGACTCATATCGAATTTTGTAAACATTGTTTGGTAAATGTTTGAATCGATTTTCATTAATGCAATTACGCAAATATGTATCCTGATTATCTACTTTCAAAACTGTAATTTCCAAGATCTAAATGAACGAACATCAATTTTTCTAAGAACGGGAGAACAAAATGTATAGTAAATATATGTAAATCCGTTGATAACAGACGTAGAAGAAATTGCTAAACCGCGTATCAGTTTGACATCCGCAAGGCAAAACAACGAAAATCCTTAATCCGAATATTTGTTCAAATTTCAGTGTCGAAGCAGATATGTTTCTCTACTTCTCTTACGTGAAGATGATTTATTTTATGTTTGCAAATGATCAATCTAACGCGGTGACATTTTCTGCGAAGAAACACAAATTATCGATCCAGGAATACTAGAAACACTTTAAACACTTTAAAGCTATGCTCCATGAATTCTCAGCCATCCCGACGATTTCAAGCAACGGACACCGTCCTGTAATTGGCTGAGATTGCGGGGACAGTTACAATTCGTTAACGAGTTCGATGGGAATTGATATTCCTCGCGGCATGCACAGCTCGATTGTTCTCGTTCTTTCTTTCCTCGCGCGCCTCGACTCTGCTCCGACTCCGATCCACATTTTACCGTTTCCCAGGTGCCCGCGTAACATATGTAACGGGTGGACCTCGAAGAAGGTCGCCCCATAACGGACAATGACTCGGACAAAGTCGGATCTCCCGGTTTTCACTCTTTTTCTGATCGGTCCACCGTTCACGAGTCATCTTCTCGTTTCGTCACGACGCGACACGCGTTTCGCTTCAATTCCTCAATGACCGTTGGAAACATTCATAAGAAACTGAACTTCTTGCTGTCTCAGTTAAAGCTGTATTATTCATCACCCCTTGGTATACGATATCGTGTTAGACTCGTGAGAAAGATTTCAAACGAAAGTTACTAAAGATCAATGTAACTCGATTCGTTTGAGATCAAGTTCAATATTATTTCCCTATTATCAATTCTTATGCTTGAAAATAAACGTAGATGCAGATAAACATGGAATTCTTTTGTTTTAGTAAAGTTTCGATGACAATGTAATTGTCTAGTGAACCGCAGTTTGCAGGCCCTTAATCTAAGCTTGTTTCAAGATTAACTCTGCTACATTATTCGGGTCTTTTTCGACTCAATAAAATTCTCATTTTATTTTAACAATGTTTTCATTTTAGTTTTATTATAATGTTATCTTGGTTTCATTTTAACAATTTTCTACAGTGAGTCACACAATGGGTTAACACTAAGCTTATCGACGTTTATTGTACAATTCATTCTGTTCCTAGCAAAGTTCATATTCGTTCATTCGGATCATGGAAATTAGGAATTTAAAATAAAAATTAAATTAAAAAAGTGAAAATTCACATGAACATTTAGCATATAATATTTATAAAATTCAATATCTGCCAAATTGGCGCATTCCGTAAGTCTAGTGTTAAGGTCCTTAACATTAAGGGTAACCTTAACTTAAGGGTTAATTACTAGAACGACAATGTAC